GGACTTCCCAGCCTCCACCCGCCCCCTTAATCCTCCTCCATTCAGCTGCCAGTGGGCTCTTTCAAAGCCGTACACAGGACTGTGGTGTCACCCCTCCTCACTGAACATCCACAGAGGCCTCCCAGTGCATGTAAATAAAGATCACGCCCCTCACCACCTCCCGCCCAGGAGGCTCCAGGCCAGCGGTTCTCAACCTGTGGGTCGCGACCCCTTTGGGGGTCGAACAACCCTTTCACAGAGGTCACCTAAGACCATCGGAAAACACATATATAATTACATATTTTTTTGTGATTAATCACTATGCTTTAATTATATTCAATTTGTAACAATGAAAATACATCCTGCATATCAGATATTTACATTACGATTCATAACAGTAGCAAAATTACAGTTATGAAGTAGCAATGAAAATAATTTTATGGTTGGGGGTCACCACAACATGAGGAACTGTATTAAAGGGTCGCGGCGTTAGGAAGTTTGAGAACCACTGCTCCAGGCCCCCTCATGGCTCTAGCTTCGTCCCCCACTGCTCTCCTCCCACCCACTGCGCCACCCGGACCAACACAAGCCAGTTCTCACTTCAGGGCCTTTGCCTGAACGCTCTTCCCCCACATCTTCCAATAGCCACTCTTTGATCCTTCATTCTTCAGCTAAAATTCATCTCCTCTGAGAAGCCCTCCCTGGCCTCCTGGCTTTGGTGCCCCCTCCCTCCTGTCCCCACTCACTCCCATCCGAGCCTGCAGCACAGTCTGTATTTCTGCATCAATAGCTGTGTTCTCTGGTTTATCGACCACCTCTCACCCTAACTGAATTTCATCCAAGGCAGGAGCTGTATGTATTTCATCAACCAGTGTGCACCCACGAGACAGTAAATGTTTCATCAATTCCCAAGGCCTCAACCAGACCTCCAGACCTGGGCTCTGTGTCTTGGGGATGTTTCTCACCCTCTCTGGGCCTTGAGTTTCCAGTGTTGGCAGGTAGAGGGGTCTGCAGGTGATGGACTCCTCCTCCTCACCCTGGCTCAAGGATCAGGGGGGATGGGACGCTGCCCAGACTGGCCTTTCCCCTGCGGGATACATCGCAGGCATGTTTTCTCTTGTTGACACAGATAGCGATCCACAAGTGTTTGCAGAGTTGAATGTAGTCAAATAGCCCTGCCCCACGGTCCTAGAAACACAGACGCCAGCACCTCCAGGAATGAGAAGGCTACAAGGGAGCCAGTTCAAGGCCCAGGGAGCGAATTTAACAATTGGATGATTAAATATGTTTAATTATTAGGAGGTAGCTGTGGTCAGAAGTCAAGCACAGATCACAAGCGGCAAGAGGCCTGGTTCAAATTCAGGTTGTGAGGAGGAGTTCCCCGGCCAGCTCTGGGTCTCTCCCAGATCAGGCCTCGAGACGGGAGAGGTCTCAGTCAGGGACTGCAGGCCCTGGTGGCTGAGGCCTGGGCAACATGGAGGCTGGGCTCCTTCCTGGATCCTCTGGGGATCTCTACCCCACTGAGCGCTTACCTGAGCTGGAGAGTGGTGGGGGAGGTATGGGGAGAAGGTGAGGCCAGATTCAGGGCGTGACCGGGGGCAGGATGGCTGGCTCAGTTCCTGGTCTGGCAGCCTGAGCTCATGTGCTAGCCTCAGGCAGGGGCTGGGAGAGGCTTGGCACTATTTCAAGGAACTTGGGGAATCCGGGCCTGAGATTCCTGCCCCAACAAGCATGGGGCCTGTTCAGTGTCAAGCCCTAGTCAGGGTAGGGTTGGGGCACAAGAATGACCCGAGCCCAAACTCTACCCACAGGAGCTCTTGGCCTGTGGGGGGAATGAATGGGTTACAATGAGCATTTCTTCCTTGAAGCTTTGGCCCTGGCTGGAGGGTCAAGGGAGAGACCAAAGCATGAACAGGATTAACCTGGGAGCAGAGGCAGGGAGAAGGACTAGAGGTGAGACCCTAGCTTGGGTGGGAAGTGAGCAACAGGTAAGCTCTGGGGGAAGATGCACATGGGACTGGAGAGGTCAGCAGAGCCTCCTAAGCATGGGCTTTGGCCTGAGGCCACAGGGGAGCCCCTGAAGGACCAGAAATGTGTTTTGGAAAGAAGAACATGAAGGCTGTTATAGAACCAATCAGGGATGGAAAACCAGAGGCCAAGAGGTCACCAGGACACCAGGATGGGGTCTAGATGAGGGTGGGGGAAGGGACAACAGGAATGGGTGGTTGGGCTGGTAGAGGCAGTAGGTCTTGGGTGT